AGCAGCTGAGAAATATTCTCAGATCGTAGAAGCTGGAGTTGATGAATGTAAGGTTATCCAGGTTCAGTGCTGCACTTCGCAGCACATGCTTTTCACTACAATAGCTTTCTCAAATCCTGTATAAACTTCTGGATCATCATCTTCATCATAATTCACGTCGTCATTGACCTTATCATTCCACAAATAATCATCTTCTGTACCATCAAGTGCATTGAATATCCCATATTTCTTGAATGATTTGATGTCTGTCTCTAATCTAATTTTATACCAGGTGTCTACAACCTATTTACACAGAATTGTTGACATTGGAGCCAGTATTCACATCCCTTCTTGAATGTCTTCTCTGTTCATCCAGTCATTCCACTTATTTGTCATGCTCTTCTTAAAGGGCTTGTATGGAGAGAAATCCAATGGTTAAACAAGACTGGTTAGACAACAGTCACTGCAATACCGTTGTTTTATGATCTAGCTTCAGCAATGAGGTGAGATCTGAACACATTCCAGACATTTTTCTTTAAGTAATCTTCTCAGTCAGAAGCTCGAAATTTTCCTCAACCACATTTTCAATCCACCTTCATTCATTCATCCTATTCTGTAAATCTGGATAGCTACATCTTTTAGGAGTTTTATTTTGAAAAGGTTTTTCTTTTGAATATTACCATTGGCTTAAACATTGACCAGTCAACTACACAACAGCACAACTATTAATTCATATTTTCATGGACAGTTGTCTTTGACAAAACATTGTTTTGATCCAACTCTACTCATTGTTTGACCGACCAGCATGTCTCATCTGGAGCCTTATTCATGGTCCCACCAGGCCAATCTGTGTCCATTCTTTTGTTGGCATTCTGATTATAATCTGCTGAAATGTGATAAGCCTCTCGTTGAGTTCTGCTTGGAGATGATATAAAATCTTGGTCTTGGGACACAATCCAAAATTGTTTCTCTTCATAAACCTGGTATGCCATGTAGAGCTTGCTTTGAAATCTGCAATGCCTGGATTTTTTTTGTGCTTGTTTCAGAGCAAAGTTTCAGAAAGAACTTCAAGAAACCAAGAAATCATTCTGGTGATATTCATTAACATATTTTGCAACTTTGTCTTCCAACTGTGGCTACATGCTAGGACTTTCTCTATATGCACATTTATTCACAGGCATTTGGCTAAGTTGTTTACAGAACTTCCTCCAATTTCTAATCTTCATTTCCGCTATCACAAATTTCCTGAAAGTCCACAAATCACACTGAAAAATCCATTCATAAGGGCAACCAATGGGAGAAAAGTCACACCGCAAATAGAATGAAAATAATCAATGAGAAAGTCTCTTCTCCAATCACAGGTTGTTTCTCTCCCACATTTGTTATTGATACACACACTAGTGGACCTATCATAACAAATGCAGGAAAGCAACAGTCTGTG